TTACCCTTCCAGCAATTAATTTATTTAAATAATAATAATAATAATAATTTTAATAAAAAAAATGAAATTAATAATAATAACAATTAAAAAAAAATAATAATAATAATAAAAAATGAAAAAAAAAAAAAAACGGTTTTTAAAACCGTTTTCTTTTTGCAATTGTAAAAGAAAAAAGAAAAAAATTTTTTTTTTTTTATTTTAAGCAAAACGTGACTGAAAGGAATAACAATAATAATAATAATAATAATAATAATAATAATATTAATAATAATAATAATAATGATATTTTTTATTTCGAATATTTTTATTTTTTTTCAATAAGAAACGCGGCAATCATCATCGTCGGTCTCACGTAAGTTTTTTTTTTATTTTTTCCGATACAAAAACGAGTTAACGTGTAATAATAATAATATAAATAATAATAATAATAATAATAATAATAATAATAATAATAATAATAATAATAAAATAGTAATAATAATAATATAAATCGAATGTTCGATATATCGAATATTTGAAAAACACGTTTGCGTTTTTTTTCTCTTTATTTTTACAATTTTAATTATTTGAATCTTTAAAAATAAATAAATAAAACAAAATCCAAATTTTTTAAATCATCATCATCATCATCACCATCATCATCGTAGTAATGACCGATACCTGTACTATCGTTATCACCGTCACAACTTCCACTTCTGTTTAAAGTACTCGTACCTAATTTTTGTAAAAAAAAGAATGTGACCTTGAATATTTTTTAAAAAAAAAGTTTCGTTCTCTCCCCCTGGTCAATAGTTTCCTAAAACGATAAATCATTTAAATAAGAGTCTATATAGGTGCGGACCTGATTTTTAGATCCGCCCTACCGAAAAAAACCCAATGTTAAATTTGGGCGTCGTAAAATTATTTCGGATAGTTGGTTGATCGTAAGACCAACAACAACAACAACTTTAATTTAAAAAAAAAAAAAAAAAGAAATTTAAATTAATTTTTTTTTTTATTATCGTCGTCTGCTTTTCGAATTTTTTCAAATATCTAAATGGTGGTGGCTGGCAAACGTAATAACGCATAATTTTAAACGTCAGGTAATCTGCTCTGTGGTAAAAAAAAAAATTTTTTGTATTCAACGAAAGACGTGAAAATAAATTTTGGCGGGAAAAAAATTTAAAAATTTAAATCGTATCGGTATCGAACGTATAATAAAATTCGTTAAAAAATAATATAAAAAAAAATAATAAGCCTTACGTAACCGGAAATTACGTCACGCAAAACAATCACACGCGCAATTATTTTTATAATAATAAAAAAATCTTAAAATTTTTTAAAAAAAAAAATCTCCTTTATTATTATTATTACTATTACTATTATTATTATTATTTCACTATTCGCGAATAAAAAAAAGTAATTTGATTGTGTAAACAAAAAAAAAATTTATTTTTAATATTAATCGTTTGATAATTATTATTATTATTGGTACTCGTAATAAAAATCAATCGATCCAGGTTTCAGGTATCGCGTTATTGACGTCAGGATAATTGTTGTTGTAAAAAAAAAAAATTAACAATTGTATCACTGGAAGCCATTTTTGTTTTTTTTTTTTTTTTCCAGTGTGGTGAAAGGTAAAAAATTCTTAAAGGTATTTGAACGCATTAAAAACTTTAAAGCCATAAGCAACCGTGAGAGTTGGAAAAAAATGTTTTCGTTGAAAGTCAACGAAAAAATCACGTGGTATATTAAAGTTAATGATGATGATAATAATAATAATAATAACTATAAGGGTAATAAAACATAGTTAAAGGCTAAAAAACGTTAACAACTTTATATAAACTAATTAATAAAAATAAAAAATAAAAAAAATTTTTTTTTTCTTCATACAATTAATAATAAACCAATAAATAAATCAAAATTAATAACGGTTTTTTTCATTTTTAAATTTGTTTGTTTGTTATTTAAAATCCGATTATAAAATAATAATAATAATGATAATAATAATAATAATAATAATAATTTTCGTTGTTCGCGTAAAAAAAAAAAGTAAAAAAATTTTCTAGGGATTTTTTTTTTTTTAAAAAAAAAAGTTATTTAATTATTTTGTTATGAATTGCGAAACTTTTTCTTTTTTTTTTTGCTGCCGTCTTGTAAATAATTAAAAAAAAAAAAAAAAAAAAAAAAAAAAAAAAAACAGCAATTTTTTCTTTAAACCCCCGCAAACCGACTTTAAAGTAAAGCAAAAAAGAAAAAAGAAAAAAAAAGAAGGCAAATAATATAAAAAAATAAAAAAATTAAAATTTTTAATTTCTTTTTTGAATTTAATATGTTTTCTCCTTTTAAAACCTTCTTTCTTTTTTTCTTTTCTTTTTTGTTTCCTTTCCTTATCCTTATCGTCTGTCTTTTTCTAACAACTACATCTACTATCCTTTTTTAATACATTTTCTCATACCAAACACACGCATAAACAAAAAAAAAATTTCCTTTTTAATTTTTACCTCTCTCTCTCTCTCTCTTATTTTCTTTTTCCCTTTTATTTCCTTTCTCCCCCCTCTCTCTCTCTCTCTCTCTTTCTTTCACTCATTATATTTCTTTTTTCTTCCTCATTCTCTCTCTCTCTCTCTCTTTTTTTCCTTTCAAGATTTAACTTTGAATAATTTTAATGTTATTCATGGAATTCTTTTTATTTTTTTTCACAAATAAAAATTTATTATTATTATTATTTATTATTATTATTATTATTATTATTATTATTATTATTATTATTATTATTATTATTATTATTACCGGGGTTTTTATCAGTTTTTTCTTTCCTTTATAAAATTAAAATTAAAAAAATACGTTACTCTTTTATTTTATTTTTTATAAATTATTAATAAAAATTAATATAAATAATGTAAATAAAACAAAACGTAATAATAATAATAATAATAATAATAATAATAATAATAATAATTGAATAAATTAATAGTAATAATGCCTAGAGGATGTTGGAAAGTTATCATCATCCGAAAATTTGAAAGTTTTTTTTTTTTTTTTTACTCGTCGTGTGGAAAGAAAAAAATAAAAATTTTTTTTTTTAATTAATCAAGATTTAATTTCTTTTTTTTTTTTTTTTTAAATAAAAAAAATAATTAAATTGTAAATTAGAAAAATTTTAAAATTTAAAAAAAAAATTTGCCGCCTTTTTAAAATTGCCGTCAACGAGGGGTCACAACGACAAAAACAACAAAAACAACAACAACAACAACAACAACTTTCTTTATATTTTTTTTTTATTTTTTTTTTTTTTGGTTTCAAGGGATTTTACAGCGAGAAAAAAAAAAATAATTTTTTTATTCGGGAAAGTTTTAAAACTGGCGGATTTTAAATTAAAAAAAAAAACAATTTGTTGTTGTTGTTGTCGTCCTCGTCGTTTTTGAATTTAATTATTTATTTTAATCGATAAATTTTTCTTATCGAAATCAAACGATTACGTCATAGTTAAACTTACACGCACGCACACACACACGTGCCCCTGGAATTTTTTCTCCAAATATTTCTCTCTTATTTCGAAAAATAAAATAATAATAATGTTAATAAATCGATACATCGAAAAAAAAACTTTTTTAAAAAAAAAAATCGATAAATCGATTAATCGAATATTTTTTTTTGGGGGGGGGGCTAAGTTTGGTTCACCAATGTTTTATTAACTCGATGAACTCTCAAAAAGAAAACTTTTAGTTTTATCGATTGTAAATCAATAATAAAAGAAAATTCATTCTTTGAATGATTAAAAGAAAGTTTCGAGTACGAGAATTTTTTTCTTTTTTTTTTAAAAAAAAAAAAAAAAAACTCATTTTAAACTTTTAAAAAAGAGAGAGAGAAAAAAAAAATTTATATATATTTTTGCTACCTGTCAAGTTTTTAACCCGCCTTTAATAATATTGGGGCGCCTAAAGGCTCTTTTATTACACAAAAAAAAATGTTACCATTAAAACAAAAAACTCCTCCCATGAATATCATTGCGGGGAAGCAGAAGAAAAAAAAAATTATATATATCAAAAATTTTAAGTTGGTAACGAAAAAAAAAAAAAAAAAATTTTTTTTTTGCCTTCTTATTTTTAATAAACGAAACGAATACATAATTTATTTATTAATTAATAAGTTTAATAATTTTATTTATTTAATTAAAAATTTTTATCGTCATCATCATCATCATCATCATCATCGTTATTTTTACGTTTCATCTTCGTTCTAATAATAAACTCCATCATATAAACTTTTATTGGTATCATTGATAATAATAATGATAATAATAAATTATTTTAAAGTTGGTACTTATGTAACGAAACACAAAGCGACCCTCTCTCATTTTGTCGTTTTTATCGTTTTAAAAATAAAAAAAAAAATATTCTCGTAAGGTAAACATTAAATTACATTAAACGTGGTTTTAGTGATTTCACACACACACACGAAATTTTTTCAAACCGCCAAAATTTACGTATCTCGTTTGTTTTGATTGATTATCAAAAAAAAAAATGGCGTATGAATGAAATCGTTGTGGTGATTGTAGAATTTCAAGATAAAGGAAAAGATAATAACGTGAATAACAATTTGCTACTATTACTACTACTACCACTGCAAAAAACCGCGAGAACGTACGCGTGTAAATTGTGTGTGTGCGCGTATTCGTTTTTTTTTTTCCACGTGATATTTCCACGTGAACGTTGAAGTATCTTTTCTCGAGTGATATAGCGATTACGACGAGATAATAAGAAAACGAAACGGAAACGGAAACGAAAGAAAAGTGATATAAACTTACGAATTAGATGTAAAAATTTGTCTTTCGAACGTAACCATCGTGGTTACCGTCGTCGTCGTCGTTTCTGTCGTCGATATTTTCTCACCACCGCCACTCCTTCCTTTTTTTTTATTACTCATTTTTTGTCGCAATATAATATCCTGTTCTCGTAGTGTTTCCGGTGACACTGTTAAAACACTCATATTATTATTACCATTGCACAATTCTTTCGGAAAAGGAAACAATTTGGGTTTAACGGATTTTCCAACGGTACCGCCGCTCAACAGGAGAGGACTGTGAAATAAATTATTCGACGGTACGGATGAAGATATGGTTGGTATTGAAAAATCCGGAAGTCCTCTTTGATTCAACATAATTTTTTTATCCTTATTTAATTTCCCACGAGATTCCAACGAATTGATCGATGACGACGGAAGTCTCGCACCCAAACCGTACATATCCCTATAGGCACCCTGACGAGGTAAAGTTTGAGATTTTGCACGTGAATCATCATCATCATTGTAATTACTCGTGATTTTTTTTTTATCGAATCCGTTTGTTTCGTTTGTCGTATCGCCATCATTTTTTTCTTCGTAATTAGACGACGAGTTGGTCGTCGTAGTTGACGTGCTCGTAACGATTGCTCTGCTCGTATTTTTTTTACCATATAATTGCCTGTAAAATTTTTCTTGATCTCCGTACATCCAACAAACTCTCCACCATTGCTTACACATGAGCATGTGATCACTTTGACTCGGATTAATCGACGTCATTTTTATTTCACGAACAACAACCGAACAACAAAAACGTAATTTTCACGTAAAAAAAACAAACTCGTACCTTTTTAGATTTTTTTTTTTGTTAAACAATTCAAATGTCATCAAAAATTTACCGTTTAAAATTAAAAATTTTTTTTTTTTTGTCGAAAACGAATAAAAATTTTTTTTTTTTCCGTTAACTCTTGTGTAATTTTTTTTTCACATCA